ACATAAAAATAACACAGAATTCACCTCTTTTACACGTACAATCAATCTAAAATGTTTTATAAGTCATTTTTACATAAATTGCTGAAATTGCAAATATTTAAATTTCTACATATTTGGCCTCCTAAGTACGTGGCTAGCGTGCGTCTATGAACTCACACTATTTGAACAACTAACTTTTGCACGGCTATCGACTATCAGTAAAAATGGAAAGTCTAATATCAACAATACTAGGTGAATAAATGATTCTACTCAATTCTCAACCGTTGAAAACTACCTCTAATCAGATTCTTATCAGTTATCATGTTTTTTATCAAACAATATAAGTGAATGTTTTCATAAATCAATCATAGAAAATAGGCATTTGTTTTCATACAAAACATATCAAACTCATATAAGACAATACTTATGCAATTAATTTCCATTAATTCTACTTATGCACAGCGATCATCTCGACCGGGGAACAAATCCGGTAACATAATTTATATCTTAAAATTCCCTATATGAATTTATTAAGAGATATTACTAAGAAAACGATAAACTGTTCTGGCCTGGGAGTCGAACCCAAGACCTTCATATCATTAATTCGATATTTCTTTAAGATTCAACTTAGCATTTTCTTATCGGAATATTGTTGCTTGATAATTTGCTTTTTAGAAGCCATTCGTAAACGGTTAACTAATAAATTGAAATATTCTTATAGGCGCGTCGCCAACAATGGTATTAGAAATTTACGTGTTCTCTTACCGTAGTAATTATTAATTCTAGTTATTGAATAAGGTGTTTTATTCCTAGTGCTATAATTGCGTTCCCTTGGGGTTGGGTCCATCGAGTACTAAGTTTGCTAGTTTTTCTTTATAGGAGAGGGGGCAAACGAGTATACGGCTCACCTGATGATAAGTGATTAGCGCCGCGCATGAGGAACTGTGACACCAGAGGAATCGCAGATGCGTTGCCGACCTTTTAAAAAGGAGTAGGCTCTTTTCTTGAAGGTCCCTAAGTCGTATCGATCCGAAAAAATGTATGATAGTAGTCGATTCCACAAGGAAGTTGTGCGAGGAAGAAAACTTCTTTTTAATCGCACAATGGTGGACCGCCAGTCATTCAAATGATATGGATGGTAATGCGAGTTTTGTCGCGATGTGCAATGGTGAAATTGTGCGGCTGGAATAAGTCCGAAAAATTCCTCAGAGCACTCCCCGTGGTAGATGCGATAAAATACGCAAAGAAAGGCAACATCTCTCCGCAGTGCCAGTAAGTCAAGCCGATCGGAAAGAGCTAGTTAGAGCGTGCTGCTACTCCAGTTGAGCCGACCCATTCATCCTACAGCTGAGTATAAGATAGCTGCAGCGTGACTCTGCCATGTAGGTATATCAAATACACGCACTGATTCTAAGTTAATACAAATCGCTCTCAAATTAGTGTAAAGTTCGCCACGACTCAACAACTTTTCCATGGAGTACATTGTTCCATTGACATTGATATTTTTAAACGAATACAAAAAGGAGAAGGATGATCAGTAGTTTTTGAGTTATCCTTAATGATGCGCATTTAATTGACTTCGACTACATTGATGTCGTTCTTATCAACCGACTCCAAAAAAGGAGGAGGTACTCAATTCGACTGTATGTTTTTTTACGTGTACTCAGAACTTTTTTTCTAGGCAAACCGATTTTGATGATTCTTGTTTTATCTGAAAGTTGGTGCTTCTCGTGTGATCCCATATAAATTTGATCAAGATCTGACCAGTAGTTTTTGAGTTATCTTTAGTATTGCTACACTGATGACTACATATGATGTTTTCATTTTATTTATATTTAAGTCAGTTGTACAATTTTTTTTTTTAATTTTACCACTTGTTTACCTCGGTTTTGAAGTGAAAACTTCTGTAGATACGTGATTTAAGACTCGATGAAGCAGAAAAATCTTTAGGATTTAGCCTGCCACAGAATGAGATAGAATAATAAATTAAATAAGTCGTGTTTAGGTCATCTTGCGTCTATTTTCAGTATCACCTTGAGAGTCAACCAATTTTTATCCGATAAAATAACTTTACCTATAGAATGAAATAGATGGCGCTATTACAAATCAATTTTACTCGAAAGAAAATATTCTTTTTATTGATATACTAAAATTAGGTCCAAAAATAATTGCTGCAACATTTATTTGCTATAAAATTAATATTTAACCTATTTTATACATTCATTAACAATTTCGAAAAAAAAAAAACAGCAAATAATTTACTGAAATTATTAACGAATAGGTATTCATTTTATCTCGCCATATTTTCCGTATCCATGTTTTCCTTCCAAATATTTACTTAAATTATAGGTCAGATTAAGAGTATTTTTCCACTCATTAATTTAATAATCGTTATTTTAAAGATGGTTAAAAATAAGCCATTATAATCAAAGAGGGTTAAACAGCGGTTAATTAATTAAATAATTAAAAGGCTTTATTTATGTCAGACTATGTCGAGAGCCCCAGATAACCACGGAATATCGTCCGTGACGTAAGAACAGGAAAAGATCCAAATCCATACGGACACTCCCTCGCAGCGATTTGGTTTAATTTAGCTTGCGTGCGTGATTAATTTAACTAATAATACATATATAGGATATCAAAACGTTGGCAAGTACAACTCGCGACACGAAATTCTAGCGGTGACCGTTATTGCGCATAATTGGCCGTATGCGCATAATTGCGTATGATATCGTTCGCACGCGCTGATTGGCTCTCCAGTTGCATTCCGTCCCCCATACTGACACGTCATTAGCAGCTAAACCCTCCACGTTTCGTTCAGCGCCAGAGTTACGTGCCGCTACTTATAGTTAACATCAAATGAGTGCAACTACTTTACGTAATCCATTGTATTTATATTCTGTGATTACTCTAACTCCTCGACCAATGTAGAGGTAATAAAACCACAAATAATTTTTATTTGAAATTTTTTTTAATTTAATTTGATTTTTTTTGTGGAAGAGTTTTATGGAGTTATTTGTATATTTTGAATACTGAGTTTTAGTTACTTGTTTACATTGGGACAAAATAGTGTTTCTACTATTAAATTCTGAAACTCTAACCATGTAGTGGCGGTTTTATACGTGGTAGAGCCACGCTGCAGCTGTATTATGGTTGTGGCAGGAATGGCGACCCATTCGACTCGACCGAGGAGGGGCCACGCTCTCACAGAATACCAGCGCATAATAGCAACTTGATGCTGCTGTGTTTCGTATGGTGAGTGTAGAGATCCGCAGAACTTTTTTACTGGAAACGAGGCATTCCATCTTAGTCCTCAGGAATGACAACGTATCTGCGTTTTGATTCTTAATCGAGGATAAATGTAGATGTCTATGGGTCACAGCAACCACTTACCATCAGGTGGACTGTGTGCTCGTTTGTCACCCTTATTTTATATAAAAAGTGTAAGAATATCCACTGCTCCTTATCATCCTGAGGGTGTCGGAAGTGGCGATAGTGGGAAACAAACCAGCATTGGCGGCAGCATCTTTCTAAACTAAACAAAACTGAGGTTGCCAACTCATATCTCTCATGTAAGGTAATTTAGGGGTGAGACCCTGCAGTGAACTTTGATATTCTGTAACAGTACTAATCCAATTCCATTCTATTCTTACACCATCACCAATCATCATCATCATTACATCTCTTCGCAAGTCCACTGCTGAACATAGGCGTGACCCAAGGAGTACCACAAAGCATAAGCCTGAGCCCCTATCGACTTCCTGAGGTCTTACCAGGTTATTTCTTTTTAATCTGGAGTGCAAGGCAAGAAATAAAACTCACTGATGCAGTTCAACAACCACTTTACTGAATGGTAGGAGACTTTTATGTAGTAAGTATGACGTAGGCACATAAGCAGGGAGAAGGATTCGTATTGCGTGGTTCCAGGTTGGAACGTGAATGGTCTCTTCTTCTATAATTATAAAATGATATAAATGAACTAATTAAATATTATTTCTACATTTCATGAAGACACGTGTTCTCCACATATGGAAGGTATCGTTTAATATTTTAGTTAAATTGTATCATCATAGTACCTACACTATATCTCTATCCTGGGGGTGAAGGGGGCTACCTAACACTTCGCTTACCAGTACGACGCTGCCACTCGAGAACCTTTCATGCCCATCGGTTTTCGATTCTACGAGCTATACGGCTGGCCCATTGGCATATCGATTTCAGCATACATGGCATATCGATTACTCTGGTACTATTGCGGGTATCCTCATTTCTCAGTTTCACAGAATTCTCGAGCATAACCCTCTCCATAGCTCACTGAGTGCCCTTGAGCTTCCCAAAACCCAATAGACTTTTTTTTAAACACCATTTTATAAATCTGGTTTTTAATGCACTGCGGGTTATACTTTTCAGGTGAAATAACAAACACAAAAATGTTTATTTATCTGTTTATTGATGGCAAATCTCACTGCGCCATTTTATCACGCTCTGGAAAAAAACAACGTAAAAATTTTGTAAATTTCAAAATGTCTTCACGAATCTGTCTGTCTGTTATCAGTCAACATTTAGATCACGTATGGGCCACAGGAGCCACTCTACATCTATCCTCAATAACAGATCAAAATGCAATGCGTTGTCACCCGTGAGGACTAAGATGGAATGCCTCGTTTCCAGTAAAAAGGGTCTCCGGTTCTCTACACTCACCATACAAAACACAGCAGCATTACGCCGCTATTTTACGCTGTTATTCTGTGAGAGCGTGGCCCGTCTCCGGTCGAGTTGACCCATTCGTACTACAACTATACCAGTAATATATCTGCAGCATGGCGCTACGTATTATGCAGCTTTAAAAGCCCTTTATTAACATGTAAAGTTAAAAAGCCAAAAATGAAAGTGGATACCTTTTGTTCTATTCTGCGGGAGGCGGAGGCGTAGTTGTTGTTTCTGGAAGAAATTTGTAAATTTTATTACTACATAAAATCTTTTTTTATTTGAAAATACGATAAAAGAAATAAAATCGAGGATTACCAGGCCGTAAAATTGAAGATCTTACCATCAGATTCTTCTTTGGTTTCGGCTCCCGTAACACCATTCGACTGTGTTGCGGTTTCGACTGCAGGATTCATGTCTGTCGAATTTGCTGGTGAATCCGATGGTATCTCTGTCGACATAACCGAAGCTCCTGCAAATTAAACCTAATTCTTAGATTTGTTCAGATTTACAAAAGGAAAAAATAAACACAGAGCAAAGAATCTTTGTTTTTCTTTTAGAAGTATGTACATAGTTCGGCCACAGGCTCCCGAATTCGATTCCGGGAATAATGATCTCAAATCATTATATGAACAAAGAACAATGGCGCCACCAATAACCCCGCCCCCCCCCCATTAGGCCCGTGCGGGAAAGAAACGGAAGTGAAAGGAGGATGTAACTTCCTGCAGAGACTATGGACTTTCATTTGGCACGATCCTCCTATACATCTTTATATCTACGCATACGTGCTCGTTGGTTAAGGGTACTCTTTAATCTGGCCGATCTTCAATATATAGCCAATTTAGACGACACATTTTCATCTAGGATGTCCCTTCTCGATTCCGCCGTTCACTTCTTCAACATATATTTGCTCTGTCACTCTTTACTTTTTACTTTACTCTTTCATTCTTGACCAAACCACCGAAGTATTCCTTTCTTAATACTGTTCACAACGTCATTTTGCAAACCACACCTTAGTTTCTCACCCTGTCATTCAGATTCAGCCTTTACATACTTCGTAATAACCGCATTTCCACGGAATTTATGCTACTCTAGTGCTTTTGCCACACCCAACTTTTACTACACTTCATTAAGGTAGGGACTAACAGAGTATTGTGAATTATTATACGTGCCTTTGTTGACTTCCCACAAAATGTGGGAAGACAACAATCATATCCACCCTGGCCTGTGACCTCGCGAAATGACAAGATCAAAGACGCCTACTAAATTTATTGTTTTATTGCCGTTCGTAAAGTAGAGTGAATATGATTTGAATTTCGATAGATTTTAATTAATTTATTTCATTCAATTTTTTTATTTTTTGTAAAATATCAGTGCCATAGGCTTCTACTCCGTTCACATGTTATACCCAATTTTTTTCCAGACGGTAAAAAAGGTCGTCCAGTATGTCATATGGATATATTCGTAAATATTCTATTATTGCATCATTAAACTACACAATTTTCTGCCTTTTGCTATCCTGTCTATGCAAGATCCTCTCGACAATCAGAGGAGGCCTGTGCCCAGCAAAGGGTCGTATATAAGCGGTAGCTTTAACTGCACAGAACGAGTTTATAGTATCTTGAATTTTTACATTGGTATTATAGAACCCCTAATAGACGTTAGCACCAAGTTTCTTCCCTATTGAAATTAGGATGTTTTTTGATTTCAAGAGAATTGGAAGGAATCGGTATTCTTTAGCGAGGATTTATGGTCTATCAAATCTGATGTAGTGGCCGTGGTGACCTGATCCTGTACGTGTTCACAAATAAAGACAACTTTTGCAACTGATGACAGACATATATAGCATCATTTTATTAATGTTCCGGATCAAAAGATTGAAAAGACGCACAGTATAGTATAGTCCGACGATCGACATTAACGAGCGGATCACAGAGTAATCAAAGTCAAAATGATCGATCTGAATGACCTGGTTCGTAAGACAAATTGTTAATTGAATGATCGGGTCACTAGAAATAATTGACACCTGTGTACTTACCGCCAACGGTCGCTGTGCCCCCAACTTCTGGTTTGGAAGAGTTTTGGTCTGTGGAATTCCTAAAAGAATAAATTGTTAATTTATAAATCAAAATAGCATTTAACGGTCACTTACGTGACCATCACGCTCAGATAAAAAATATTATGTACTTGTAAATATATTTATAAATTCGTTTGTATTATATAGATAATAATCATTATTTTTGATTTAAAACAGCGCCAGGTGCGTGTTTGAGTAAAATGCCGCGCTAGTCGTTATTTGTGAAATTTTTAGGAGCTATCTACTTGTTATTAAAGAGATATATATACTAACTAGCTTGCCAGGCAGACGTTGTTCTGCCCCTGCTGTCCTATAAAAATTCTTGAACAAAAAATAGTTCACACATGCGCAAAAAAACTATCCTATCTCTCAAGTTGGACCAAACTGCACACGGTGTGCAAATTTGATTTAAATCGGTTAAGTAGTTTAGGAGTCCATCGCGGACAAACAACGTGACACGTAGTTTGTATATATAAATTAAAAAATACTAACAGTGCTGGTAATGATGATATAACTACAAAAGTAGTTAAGTTAGTGGCCGTTGAAATTTCCCCAGTTCTAAGTTACGTAGTGAATTTATGTATTGAAAATGGTACTTTTCCTAGTGCTTTAAAAATATCCGTTATAAATCCTTTATATAAAAAGGAGGACAGACATGACCCTAAAAACTACAGGCCTGTCGCTTTGCTTCCAACATTCTCCAAAATAATAGAAAAAGTAATATATAACAACTTATATTCTTATTTGGAAGTTAATAACATCTTAGCAAACGAACAATATGGTTTTAGAAAATATAAAAACATAAATATGGCCATGTATGGATTTATTGAAAAAGTGATCACCGGTATGGATAATCGTACACCAACAACCGCCTTGTTCATGGACATGACCAAGGCGTTTGATTACGTTGATTTAAATATCTTAGCGCTTAAACTGGATAAATATGGAATCAGAGGTAATGTGTTAAATCTTATTATATCATACCTGAATGATAGGAAACAAATGACTAAAATAAAAAAGATTTGTCCTTGTACTAATATTGAAATAACATACCTTTCGCAACCAAAGCAAACAACCTACGGTGTGCCGCAAGAAAGCGTACTCGGTCTATTACTATTCCTAATATATATCAATGATTTGCCCCAGGTGACTCAGCACCCTATGACCTTATTTGCTGATGACAGCACAGTTTTATTCACGGGACGAGACAAGGTCTCAATTGAAACGGACATAACTCAGAATTTATACAGGATAATAGGGTGGCTGAATGACAATAATCTTAAAATTAATTTGGATAAAACGCATATTATGTCATTCAAACAAAGAAAAAAACAACCAAAAATTAATATTAACTATAAAACTAAAATCATAAACGAAAAAGAACACACAAAATTTCTGGGAATTTGGCTGGACGAAAAAAATGACATGGAGTAAACATATTGAACACACAATAAAAAAAGATAAATCAATTCCACTATGCACTACATAACCCTATAAAAATTACAAATCGTGAAACAGTCATAACCGCCTACCATGCATACGTCTCTTCAACATTGAGATATGGTATAATATTTTGGGGAAATTCTCCAAAACGCGAACTAGTATTTAAAGCGCAAAAGAAATGTTTACGAGCAGTATGTCAGTTGCAGGTTACCGATAGTTGCAAACCGCATTTCAGTGATCTTAACATTCTGACCCTACCATCATTATATATATTTGAAGTAGCTATGTTTGTAAGGAAACATTTAGGCATATTTGAAAACGCTAATAATAAACGACATAGAAATAAACTACGCACAAAACCTCATAAAACAGCCCTGTATTCAAAAAGTTTCCTGGGTATGGCGCCTAAAATTTTTAATAAACTCCCAAAATACATCAAAGAAACTGATAATATAGACAAATTTAAGAAATTGCTTTCGAGTTTTTTAATATATAAAGCATACTACTCTATCAACGAATACTTTGAAGATAAAATGAATGGTTTTTAGTACCTGCAATAATTAATGGACGATTTATATATATATATGTTTATATATATGTAATTGATAATTAAGATAATAATTAATGTTATTTCTAAACATACTAATTATAATTGAAATTGTTATTTTATTAAAAATTAATTTTCATATTGCCAGGTTATAGTGCCAGTTTCATAGTGCCAGTGATAGTGATAAACAAATATTTGTATGCCTTTGTAGGCGAAACATAGTGTTACGTATCATACCTTTTCCACCAAGCTTGTAACTTTTTACCTATGTTTTACAAATAAATTATTTGATTTGATTTGATTTGATAAAGATAAAAAAATCTACAATTTTTTTTTATTTTATAGAAGAGGGGGCAAACGAGCATGCGGTTCACCTGATGTTAAGTGACTACCGCCGCCCATGATCAACCGCAACACCAGGGGAATTGCAGATGCGCTGCCGGCCCTTTAGAAAGGAGTAAGCTCTTTTCTTGAAGGTCCCCAGGTCGTATCGGTCCGGAAAAATCGCCAGTGGTAAGTTATTTCACAGAGAGGTCGTACGCGGAAGAAAACTCCTAGTGAAACGTACAGGGGTGGACCGCGAAGCATCCAGATGTCGTGGATGATATCGGAACGTTTGCCGCGTAGTGTGTTCATGAAATTTGGCGGCTGGGATTTATCCGAACAATTCCTCAGAGCACTCCCCGTGATGCGATAAAATACGCAAAGAGATGCAACATCTCTTCGCAGCGCTAGTGAATCTAGCCGATCGGAAAGCACTCGGTCGTCGACGGTTCGAGCCGCTCTGCGCTGGACGCGGTCAAGTAGGAGGAGCTGGTACTGGGGAGCTCCAGCCCAGAGATGGGAACAGTATTCCATGTGCGGCCGAACCTGCGCCTTGTAAAGTTGCAGGCGGTGTGCCAGCATGAAATACTTTCTTTATCTTAATTTCTACGTAATGTTGATTCCATAATAGCCAATTCCAATTTTTTTCAAGAGAGTAAATGCTTAATGAATCTTCCTGCTTGATGAAACCACAGAAATGCGAAAGATTTATTGATAACACGTATCTTCTCATAAAGTAAGCATTATTTTATTTTGCGATTGACACTAAAGGACAGGCAATTTATTAATGAACATTTTGATCTATTTAATTTTTTCAAAGGATTAAAATTCGATTTTAGAAAGACAATATTTTAAAATATACAAAAAGTATTCTAGATACTATTAATATTTATTTTACATCTTTTCAAAATATTCTCCATCATGCTCTATACAGAGTCCCATTCGCCTAAACCAACTCTGAAAAAACATTTGCCAGTCTTGATCTGACAGGACGGAAATCGCTTCTTCGTAGGCAGCCACGGCTTCTTCGGCGCTTTAAAAAACTTGCCTTTTATTTTTTCTTTGACTCTTAGGAACAAAATGAAATCACAAGGAGCTAAGTCAGGGCTGTAGGGTGGGTGACTTAGAGTTTAACCAACAGATTCCTCAATAAACGCTTTTGTTCTAAGGGAGGTATGTGAAGAGGTGTTACCATGATGCACCATGATTCCCCGAAGCCCGGTTTTTGGTCTTCTCTCCCATACCATTCAGAGTTATCTGAGTTATAATTTTCCAGCATTGACGTCGACAAATGTCCGATCCGCGAAAAAAAACTAGCCACCACTTTTTTGCCGACGTTGCGAGGTCTTTGCAGTTTTGTCGGTAACTGTCCTTCTGAGTAGTCCCATACCGATGATTGCCTTTTATTTTCCGGATCATATTGATAGAACCATGTCTCCTCACCAGTAACGATTTTTGAAACACACCTGTATGCCCCGTTTTCAAAACGTAGACGCATTTCGTGGCACCAATCCACACGAGTTTGTTTTTCGCTTTCGGAGAGCAAACGATGGATCCATCGACAAAAAAGCTTCTTCACTTCGAGATGTGAAAGAGTGATGTTATAACTCGTACGAATTAACTTGAGACCTGAGCCGATGACGTAATTGTCAATGTACGGTGTGCAAAATAATGCGTCGTAATATTTTTTTATTTGAACATTTTGAGATTTGCATGAGATTATTAATAAAAACAAAATAAAATGTTCTGGCAAGGGGTGAAGTAATAAGTGATATATACTGTTGCCATTTTTATATATTGTAAATATTTATTTTTTATAATATATATAATATTATTTTTAGTTAACGCGTCAAGGAATGACAAAGAAATAAACATACACACTTTCTCATTTATAATATTATTAATTTATTTATTATACACTTTATTGCACTATAAAAAGTGTTACAGATTCGTACACAATAAAAATACAAAGCATAACAGGCGACCTTATTGCTAAAAAGCAATCTCTCCCAGGCAACCTTAGGGTGAACGTGAATCAATCTTGGATAAGCGGAACAGCACAAATTATGTAAAATCAAGGAATAGAAGTAAGGAATATTAATAAGGATTTATTATAATATTTATTATTCATTATCACTGTATACCATCGGTTCTATTCCGTCCATTAGATCGTCCTCACTTTCACTCTCTGAGTTGGATTCTTCCCCTCCGAGGGATATAATTAATTCTCTCTGTTGGATTTTAAAACTTTTAGAGCAAGTGTCCGTGCTTGGCTATGTATTGTTTTTCCTCCCATCTTTTTTTAAAAATAAAAAAGGCGGAGTAACTCCTAAGCTTCACAAGAAAACGGCACAACACAACGTCCAAACTTAACAATAAAACAACGCAATTTACAACAAACAGATAACGTTCAAGTATAACAAAAACAAACAAAGGTCCAAACCAAACAACAAACAATTATCAAAAATATCGAACTAGAGTCGAGACGCGTATCCGTAACAAAAATGCTATCGGTACTGAGCGCGCACGGCCAGCGCGGGACGCGGTGCGGGGAGTCGGGAAGGGGGTCGCATTCCAGCGGAGTCTCAAGTTAATTCGTACGTGTTGTAGATGGTATGAATGCTCCCCATACTAATTCCTACAATCTTTTCAATGTCCCTATATGTGATTCATGGGTCTTCTTTCACCAACATTTCAGTAGTCCATACATTTTCTACCGTTACTGCTGTTTGCGGGGCCCCGGTTCTTTGGTCATCTTTAAGGTTAATTTTATCACTTTTGAATTTAGCAAACCACCTAAAAATTGTTGCACGTGATGGAGCTGAGTCCCCCTATGCTGATTGTAACCGTTGTAAACTTAATTATTCAGTTAAACCAAATTTAAAATAATAGTAAATCATAGCGCGCAAATGTTCATGGTTAAGGTCCATCGTTTTAAACTAAAAGCGCGGGAAGCTTTGCAGAAATATTAATAGAAATTTGTGTTTTTTTTTAATATTGGGCAATTGACTTATGGAGTTCTGTTTTTAAATAAATTTGCCCTTTAGAAAAATATAACACGGCTGCATTACATTTTTAAATTTCGAGCATCTCAAAACTTATTTAATGGCCTACGTATCACCTAACTACGTATAACCGAACGCTCAAGTTCATTCGCTAGGAGTAGCACCATAATGAATATCGATAAAAGTAATTTCTAATGAAAAATAATTCCTGAAAATATTTCATAATAACCTAAAAATAATGTTTACTTAAGAAATTTTCTATTCAGACGCGCATTTTTATGATTGACAGTTTTTTTTTTAATTAAAATATTGTGATAGACGAACTTACAGAGGATAATGGTGAGTTTTTTTTTATAAAATAAGGGTGACGAACAACCACGCAGCCCAGTACATTTGCACGGACATTTGTCTTCGATTAAGATTTAAAATGCAGATTCGTTGTCACGCCTGAAGACTAAGACGGAATCCCTTATTTCCAGTAAAAAGCATCTCCGGCTTTTTACTTACGTACGTGAGGGTAATACGGTCACCCGGTTATTATGGCCACTATCTTACAACTGAAAAATTACAGCCATGTTTGCATAGATGGCTCTATGATACGATAGCTCTTCATCGGTCGAGCAAATAATAAAAGGGCAAAAGGGCGATGCTTTGTAGACGCCATTTTGACAGTTGACATTATAGTAAATATTTTAGTCGATTTTGGTATGGTGTAGTGTAGTTGGTTTTTTTAAGTAGATTTTCCGAAGTTTTCCTAATTATTTCCAAAGCTTGTTTGCTACTTTTTTCTTAATATATTAGTTATAGTATACGATTTTGTGTTTTTGTCTCTGCCCTTCTCCTAGTTTTGGTTTTATAGGGCGGCAAAGCTTAAGGTGACCAGATTACCCTCACGTACCTTATAACTGCATACGAAACACAGCAGCATTAACTTGCTATTTCACGCTATAGTACATGCCAAATTGATTGAGAAAAACGGACAATGACCTTTCGGTCCTTTAACCAGGGGCCACAAACCTTCAATATATAGGCACATTTTATATGTAGTACTTTCATCATTTATATTGATTTATTATTATTTTTATAATGATTGATATAATATATATTTATTAACAATTATTAAAAAGTTATGTAAAAGATCGCTGTGGAAGAAAAATCATCTATTGTTATAAAGTACTTTATTCATTTAACAACAAAAAGCATTAATTTATAACACATAAAGATTCGAGTAATAACGACACCACGTAGTACGTACTTATTCAAAAGATAAAACTTTATTTTCAATATTATATAAGAACTTTATTTTTATTCGGTGCATGCGGGCTGGCCCAAAAAAGTGACGCATCTCTGGCTGCCATTGTCACGTTTCTTTTAGAACGAACTGACGTAACGCGCGTTTTGTTTATTTTAAAGGAATGAATTTGCAAAAGCTCAATATGGTGATTATATTACTTCAAATATTTTTTTAATATAGACCTGTCATTAAATGAATTGCTGCGTTACTTACCGTTCCTGATGTACCGTAAGATTTTGCGATGTTTATAGGAACCACAAACAATATTATTTAAGAAACAAAAAAAAAACAAAACATATGTGCTGACCTAGAAGTGTGAATAATATCAATATTTAAAAATTGTTATCACATCTAAATTGAGATCTTGTAAGTTACGCTTTTTGACACTCGGCTCATATCTGAGGTCATTGTCTGATTTTTTCAATCGATTTGGAACTAACTATAGTATTCTGTGGCTGGCATTACATGCTTTCGAAAAACTTGGTGAAACACCGCCAAATTCTTGACTGCTGGCATTTACTGAGAATTTCTTGACAGAATAACCCTGGTCTGAAAAAATCAGTTATTATTTTGGTCAAACCCAGGATTCGAACCCGATCATTCGAACGAGACAGTCGATGTAGTGTAGACAGTCGAAATTGTAACTTTCCTTTAACTTTGTAATGGTGACCGCTCTTACCCAGAAACCAATCTACCTGATCGTACACATTTATCCCCAATTAAGGATTAAAATGCAAACGCGTTGTCATCCCAGAGAAATAGATGGAAAGCCTCGATTCCAGTAAAAAGCATCTCCGTTTCTCCACACTTACCATAAGAAACAGCAGCATTAAGCTAAGCTAAGCAGCTATTATACGCTGGTATTCTGTGAGAGCGTGGTCCTGCCCCGGTCGAGCCGACCCATTCGTGCTACAACTACCACGTAAGCACAATATACTTACGTAATTTCCAGGATTGTCTTCGTGACTTGCTCAGTCCCCGCCACAAATACTGCTTGATACACACCCTCATAAGTCGGACCGTATTCCACTATGCGGATTGTGATAGATGAAGATGACACCTAAAAATTTTTTCAAAATAAAAAGAAAATAGGAAAACATTCTATTTTATAGAATAAGGGTGACAAACAAGCACACAGTCTACCTGATGGTAATTGGATGCTGTGAGAAGACATATACATATCTATTCTTAAGAATCAAAAATTCATCACGGAATTTTTCGGGTCAATACGACTTAGGGACCTTCAAGAAAAAACCCTACTCATTTTTAAAAGGCCGGCAACGCACCTAAAATTCCCCAGGTGTTCCTGGGCGGCGGTAATCACTTACCATCAGGTAAGCAGTTTGTTGTTTGCCCCCTCTCCTATAAAAAAGCAGATGCGTTGTTAACCTTTAGAACTAGCATGGTGTAGTCATTGATAATAATTATAACTTTTAACAAGAAGTAAAAACCACCTTCAAATTGCTAAGATAGCAGTGTTTTTATTTGCAACCCTCAGGGTAGAATTTTTATCTCCAAATTTATGTGGGGCTATCCTTAAAACATAACCTATTTAATAAAAAAAAATCATCAAAATTGGTTCACAAACTGCGAAGATATCGCGTAACGTACGTACAAACTAACAAGCACTCGAACTGAGAATCTCCTCCTTCTTGAAGTCGGTTAAAACGGGTCTTTGGTTGTATTCACTCATATGCCCCATTTACATTCAGCCCCTGCCACCACTCCTCGCGCTGCCAGCAATACTTCGCTAAATACTGCCGTAGCAGGATCGCGGGAAGTGTGTATTTACACTCTGCCCTACCACTCATATCACTTTCGTCTTTCGACTATAGCAGACGTCGAAATAGTTACAGCGTCCGCGCTGTGTCTTCTTGCAATACGAAATTATGATATTAATTTAAAAAATATCAAGTTCAAAAGAAGATAAACAGATAGATAGAAAATTTATTTGCTTAAAAACATGGTACATAAGATGATCAATGACGTGGAAGTGACATGTTTTGCCATAATTGGCATGCAAAAATGATATGAAATACAGCTAATTACACAAACCCAATGTTACATTTTAAAATTATTGCATTGCTTAAAAGTTATTACACTCAGCCTCGTTGGGCAGGGAAGTGAGCAGGGCAGTGAGCAGGGCAGTGAGCAGGGCAGTGAGCAGGGAAGTGAGCAGGGCAGTGAGCAGGGCAGTGAGCAGGGCAGTGAGCAGGGCAGTGAGCAGGGCAGTGAGCAGGGCAGTGAGCAGGGCAGTGAGCAGGGCAGTGAGCAGGGCAGTGAGCAGGGAAGTGAGCAGGGCAGTGAGCAGGGCAGTAAAAAAAAGCAGGGCAGTATGTAAACAGGCTACTCGCGCTGACACTGCCGCTGCCACTGCCCTGCCCGACGATCCCTCAAATGTCGGTTTTTCGTGCGGAAGTCAAAGGACGGGCAGCGCGAGCGGCAGTGAGTGTTCACATTCAGCTCCATCGCTCACTTCGCGCCAAGCGCCTGGATGAACGGACGTGCGTGCCGTCTTGTTATTAAATAAGTACGATCTGTCAAAATGCCTTTCGAGTGGAATAACGAAAATACAATCAAGTTTTTAGAACTGCTGGAATCAGAAAAAATTATATGGGATTTCAACGATAAAAAACATAATTCATCATCTTCCACGAATACGAATTTTCTTTTTGAGATAACATAATACTATGTACATAATTAATTATAAGTTCGTCAAATTTATTATATTAATATCAAATTTAGTTTCAGGAACTAATGAACATTGACATTTTATTTCTAAAAACAATTAGTAACTCGTATTGATTATTTATTTAGTACAAAGTAATATAATGTATTAAGTTAAATGGTAATATTTGCATAACAACCTGAGATTTGTAAATTATAATTTTAATGTAATTGAAATTATGAATTAATTTATATCTACTGTAGTGTAATTATTAAAATAATAATAGCTTAACTAATCTCATATAATATTTAATATTATTTATGTAACAATAATGTAATAATTCAATTAATAATTTATGAACAATTTATTGTATAAGAATAAGAATTCAAATGGAGTGGATCAGTGAGTATTTAATTGTACATAATATTTGATTCAAAAAGAATGTACATAACTTTTAAGCATCGAAATAATTCTAAAATGTAACATTGGGTTTGTGTAATTAGCTGTATTTCATATAATTTTTCCATGCCAATTATGGCAAAACATGTCAGTCCCACGTCATTGATCATCTTATGTACCATGTTTTTAAGCAAATAAATTTTCTATCTATCTATCTATCTGCTTTTGAATTTGATATCTTTTGTATTATTAACATAATTTTGTATTACAAGAAGACACAGCGTGGACGCTATAAATATTTAGACGTCTGCCATAGTCGAAAGGCGAAATTGATGTGAGTGTTATGGCAGAATGTAAACACACACTTCCCTCGATCCTGCTACGGCAGTGTTTAGCGAAGTATGGTCGGCAGCGCGAGGAGCAGTGGCAGGGGCTGAATGTAAATGAGGCTTAAGAGCGTGAGTCTCAAGGGTGTCGCCAAGGGGGGAGCAGGGAGGGGCTGCTCTCCACTAGAGGCGAAAAATAGTCGTCAAATGCAAAGCAACCAGTTATACATGTATTAATCATTCATTTCTCGTGACCGAATCATTCTAGTACATTTAATCAAACGTACCGATACATTCGGCTCGATAATTCAAATGGATCATTTCGGGCTCCAGTAATCCTACACTTAAAACAATTCATTCAGATCATCCGGGTTTCGGTCGGTTTTCGACTCATTCACAATTAACACCAATCACGAGTTAAAAAGGTTCCGTCAATTGTTTGTGATAGGTTGTTCCGGATCATTTAAATACAGATGAATGAATCATCAATACTTTTAAGTGACCCAACTCAATCATGATTAACACATGTCTACAACCAGTATTACTTATTAGATTTTGTTTGTCTGATCTTATTACAATCGCCGTAGAGGTTAGACTAGCAACAGAAGTGTAAAGCTTCGTGTGTTCTTTTACCTACTTACACTTTCCCATCCTCTAATAATGTCGTTCAGACCGAATTTCGGTCACAGCGGCCAGCCTCAATGGAGGCTAGCCAACGGCGCAAAACAGGATTATAGTGCCCGAGTGTATGCGCAAGCACAGGTACACTCTCTATTGCCTCATTCTCATAGTCCGATGGGACGGTAAATCGAAACAACTAGAGAGATCAGGTGTAATACCAACGGCTTTACGTTTTTTTTTGTCGTTAAGCGTGTCTCTAATCAGTTATTTTCAAGACTCACAAACTCACAATATAGAAACTGCCGGATCCGCTGTTGCTTCTTCTCGAGCTTTGCACAGGTATGCCGTTCACGTAGACCTGGGGGAAAAAGTTCAATGTCATATTTTTTTAGAATAAGGACGTCAAACGAGCACACAGTCCACGTGATGGTAAGTGGATGCTGTAACCCATAGACATCTACATCTATCCTCGATTAAGAATCAAAATGCAGATGCGTTGTCATCCTCAGGGTTGGCATCGGATTATTTCATCTTAGCGCTCGGGGACTAAGATATTATTACAAACTATTTGATTCAATGACTGCCTCGTAGTCTATTGGTCTCAAACGTGATTGCTGGTTATAAACGAATGATTCAAATCCCAAAAAAAAAACATAAATTTAGTTTTTTGTCAAGAAAATTTTAGTCACTCTCACAATCTGAAGGAACAGAAATCCGACACGACCGGAGAGAGATCAGGCGCAGGGCCAACGGCTTTACGTGAATGTCACGTGAGTCAAACAATGCCAACTTCCTGACGCCAGGCAGCTGCTTAGAATTTCTCATCAGAAAAGCACAAAAACTGATTTCGATCCGAACCGGGATTCGAACCCGGGACGTTATGATTAGCAACCACCACGACCACCAGGCCAGGGAGGCAGTAATGCAGCCAGGCAGGTGTTTTATACACCTCGACCTACCTGGCCCTGCATGGGTAGTCCCCCCTCTCTTTCAAAGTGTCTTTATCATCATCATCATTACAGCCCTTCACAAGTCCACTGCTGAACATAGGCCTCCCCCAATAAATGCCACGAAGCTCGGTTCTGAGCCACCTGCATCCATCAATGAGAGTAACAAAGTATCTTAAAAATATTAAATCGGAAAATACAGGATGTCCCAGAAGTCGACGTCAAGCCGGAATCGGGTGATAGGATCGCATAATAGTTTACAGAAAAAATATATTTGCCATGTATTTTAAAATTTAGAGGCATTTATAAAAAATCGAGGAAATCTTCACCCTGTGACGGTCTCTTAACTCCTACAAATTTTAACTTGTTTTTTTAATTTTATTATGTAATCCCGAAAATGCTTCTGAAAGCTGTTGCTTAAAATTTACAGCCAACTGCTCCAGGCCAGAAGGAAATGTAATTTTTTCTCAACCGAATATCTTGGTTGCGCGGAAAACGAATACCCTCGCATTTTTCATTGATTTAGTAATAAGCCGGTACAGTCTCCCATCACATCCGTTTCCCTTCCGCATATGCCTCACAGGGGGGGGGGGTAGATAGGTGGTGTCATTTTTTTGCCCAATGGGAGGCGCGTTCCGCTTAGATGGAAGTGGAGACGGCCGAAGAAGTAAAAGGACGTGCGGCGCCACCACTCGTCCAGTATCAACGCAGTGCCACCAACCAGGTTGGTGGCACTGCGTTTGCCTCTTAAGGCCACCAGGAGAACAACCCCGGTGATTTCCCGCTCCTATAGATATTGAGCTGTTTTTTTTTTGTTTTTTTTTTTGTTGTACCTTCCCTGCCAGTTCTTGTTTTCCATAGTACTTTTTTGACTTTCAATAAAAGTTACTTGTAATCTATATTGAATAAAAGATTATTCTATTCTATTCTATTCTATTCTACCGGCTAAATATAATGAGTTAAATTATCGCGAGTGTATTTATCAAAACCCGCGACGTACCACGTCCGCCATTTTGTTTGGGTTATAGCCAATCAAGCCATACAGTCCACTTTCGTTATTCTAACACAAAATAGTTTGAGGCCATTGTCTACGGGAATCAAACCCGAGACCCTGTGGCCTAGCCATTTTGTAGTCATTCGTTCCGAATTCGAACCCAGGAACCCTATCGCTCCATCATATTCAAAATTAATACTTCGCCCAGTTTTAAATAACTATAGTATATGTTTAGATATTGTTACGAGCTTGAGGTTCGTGACAATAAAAATTGCCGATAAAATTACCTAAATTAACACTTTAATTTACTTTACACAAATTAAAACTAAAAACACTAATAATTAAACACACTAATTCACTTAATTCCGCTCCGAAGCTTCGCTCTGTGTCGCCGAGTTCAACTCTGCCTCGATCGCATCTTGCAACGCCCATTTATTTAAATTAGCAAAGAAATATCCAGAATGTTCAAGTAAACACGCGCAAGGTACCGAGCGCTCGAGTTTCGACTAGGCGCTGTCGGTTGAGTGATTTGTGATGTCATTTTCTCAATGCTCCCCTCGCTCTCGTTCCTGACACTAGATGGCGCTAGTGTATCGTCGACTTGAGCGCGTAACACTGCCCCCTCCTAAGACATGCTCGTCCCGAGCATTATCGGCCCCATAATAACGCACCAAGCGATTCACATGGACGATCTTAGGAGTCCCTCTTGCGCCTTTCTGTAACGGCTCCGCAATGTCAAGGGCTGTCCTATCCCGTGGTGCACCAACATTGTACAATTTCGGTGCTCCTCTACTACGTGTCTGAGGTCCCCGCACGGCCGCACAACTTGTACATGTACGACACCAATCCTCGACATCTTCACGATAATGGACCCAGTAAAACTGTTCTCGGACCTTCAGTAGAGTTCGTTTAACTCCCAGATGGACTCTTGAACGACCATTATGGCACAGCTGTAGAACATTTGGCACTTTAGCTTTAGGGACAACCATTTGCAAACGACAGCTGTCTCTTCGACCATTGTCCCATTTACGGCACAGGACTTCATCCTGAATCAGCAAGCTGTCCCATTGGGCCCAATAGCTTTTCGTGGTTGAACTCATCGCTGAGACGTCCCTCCACTTAGGCTTGGTAGCACGGGCCTTCATCCATCCCAGAATCGGGTTGATGTCCGGATCTTCCTGCTGTGAATGTCGTAGGCTGTCCTTCCACCCGTTGCTGAGGTGGTCTGTCCTGAGCATCCTCACGGATACCACCTCCTTACTCTCTTGCCTACTACAATGGTTGCAATCTTCAGGACAAGGTCTTCTTGACAATGCATCTGCGTTGCCGTGAGATTTCCCGCTGCAGTGTCTGATAGTAAAGTCGTATTCCTGCTGCTGCTGGGCGGTGCTGTTAGCCGCACTTCCTTTCTGAGACCGTTCACCTTCCCCTTCCTAGGGTGTGCTTAGGGCAGCTGGACCGAAGATGGCCCCTTTCCCCACAGCCATAGCACCTAGGGCTGTATCTTTTATTGTGGTCGCGAACCGTAACTGCTGTAACCTCCCTAGCGTGAGGTGAACGATGATCCTGTCGCCGCCAGGCAGTGTCGTTAGCTGCACTACCCTCTCGAGATCGATCAACTCTCCTTTCCACGGTTCGCTTAGGGCAGCTGATTCGAAGATGGCCTTTTTCCCCACAGCCATAGCACCTAGGGCTGTATCCTTTGTTGCGGTCGCGAACTATAGCTGCCGCAGCCTCCCCTGACGCGATGGGAACGATGATCCTGCCGCACGGCTTCCACTTCCAGTGCATGGGCCAAGGCGTTCTTAATCGTCTCGTGGTGCCCGAGCCTCACAGCAGCTCTGACTTCAAGGTCGCGGATGCCGTCGATGAATGTCTGAACCAGGTTCCCTTCAATGAGCGCAGGTACAGACTGGTATGCTTTTCGCACCAGCTTCTCCACCTCTAGAGCCCACTGCTGCAGGTTTTCGTTGCTGCGTTGCACGCGATCTTTAAGCTGCGCGCGAAAGACGTGTTCCAGGTGAGCGTCACCATATCTCGCCTCCAATGCCTCAAGGAGCTGCTCGTAGGTCACTTTCTTACCGAGAGCTTCCAACACAGTTAAGGCTTGGTCGCGCAGGCCTAAGGTGAGTGCACTCATGGCCTGGCTTTTATTCCAGCCGTTTGCCTCCATGACGGCCTCGAACTGGATTTTGTAGGCCGACCAGGAAGAAGTCCCGTCGAACGGTGGTACCTTGAACCCACGTAGCGAAGGTGTAGTAGCTACTGCGGGGGCTGCAATTCCATCACCAAGTTTGAGTTCATCCAGCGTTTTCTTAACTTGGTTGATTTGGGTCTCAGCTTCCGACAGGCGGTTATCATGTTGAGCAACCTTATCCTTCACCTCCCTTATCTCTTTCCCGAAGGTAGCGTGAAGGTCCTTTATGAGAAGCATCTGCTCTTCCCTATCGCATTTGAGCTGCTCTTCTAAGCGACGGGCCTGTTCCTCCTGCCGGCGGGCCTGTTCCTCCTGTACGCCTCGCAGCTGCTCTTCCAAACGACGGACCTGTTCCTCCTGTCGGCGGGCCTGTTCCTCTCGTCCGCGCTGCAGCTGCTCCTGTAGCATCGCCATCAGAGCACCTAAGTCAGGTGCTGCAGATGTAGGAGCTAATGACGGGCCCGCAGCCTCCGTGGCTGGCAGTTGGCCCTCCGACGTCTGCGCCGTTGCACCACCAAATCTCCGCTGGTCCGTCTCATGCTGGCGTTGACTGCGGGTACGGAGACCCTCCGTTTCCTCCTTAGGTAAAATCGGCATGATTTTATCCCACTTCTGACACCAATTGTTACGAGCTTGAGGTTCGTGACATAAAAATTGCCGATAAAATTACCTAAATTAACACTTTAATTTACTTTACACAAATTAAAACTAAAAACACTAATAATTAAACACACTAATTCACTTAATTCCGCTTCGAAGCTTCGCTCTGTGTCGCCGAGTTCAACTATGCCCCGATCGCATCTTGCAGCGCCCATTTATTTAAATTAGCAAAGAAATATCCAGAATGTTCAAGTAAACACGCGCAAGGTACCGAGCGCTCGAGTTTCGACTAGGCGCTGTCGGTTGAGTGATTTGTGATGTCATTTTCTCAATGCTCCCCTCGCTCTCGTTCCTGACACTAGATGGCGCTAGTGTATCGTCGACTTGAGCGCGTAACAATATGAAAGGCGTGTCATTGAATTAATATTCCTTTTTGGCTACATTTTTATTTAGTGTCTTAACTTTTTGTTTACCGAATATTGCACGCTTACTTCGTGATGGGCAAACGCAGCGGAGAAGGAAGCACCTAAAAGCATTTTTAACCACTGACGAAAAAGAGTTGTAAGTGACCGCTAAGTGTGTCTGTGTGTGTGCGTGTCTGTGAGTGCGATTTTTTTTTACCGGTGATTCTTAGAGATGTTTTATCAAATCAGTTCGGCCGTTTGAAGATCATCAGGTTTTAAAATTTTCAATTGAAGATTTAAAGTGTAAATACTTCGCCATAAATAACATTACTGTAGTATTGAAGGTCTTAAAAATTAATTTGCTTATATCCGCATAATAAAATGAAATGATGTGTCTTACCTAGACTGAAGAGTATTTGAGGGAGGGCGAGAGGCCCTCCCTCAATAGAGAAGTTGCATAAATTTTTTGCAACTAATTTATATATTCCCCGAAAGAATAATTTATTTATAAAATATTGAAATATTTTTTATTAACAATTCCATTTTTAGTATACATTAAAAAAATAGTAAAATATTTGAATTAAAAAATTGACTTGTGATTGGTTGTGACGTCATTATATGCTTACTGTTATATTTCTATATTCCAATCACCATGTGTCATAAGAAAATATATATAGCCTGTATTACGCAGTGACATTTTTTGACAACGGCGTTATTAAGGCGATATAATGATTTTAATAGCGTTTGAATTAACATTTTAGTAAAGCCATTTTTAATTGTAAAATTACATGAGAAATCAATAGTAATTTTTTTTACTTAATAGTTTTAGTAAACTTAAAAAAAACATGCGACTTCTCTATTGCTTGCAGTATCCCCTGCACCGCAACCTCACCGTTAACTTAGCGGTCAGCCACCGCACAGTCTACTTCACCTGAGGATGCCTCGTGTAGAGGCAAAACACGTGTCGTATTATCGACCGTGGTAGGTCTTTCCTGGTGTGGTGGTGCTGAGATTAGTGGTGACGGGGAAGGTGCACGCATGAGTTAGGGCAAGAGGTGCTCTTGAGACTAGGTAAGACATATCATTTTATTTTATTGTGCGAATATAAGCAAATTAATTTCAAAAACCTTTGATATAATGGATTTCCGCAAAGTAACGCCTGATTCTGTTATCTTTACCTTAGTGACAAGACAATCGGTACAACTGTAAGGAATTATTTCCTCGAACTGCTCGCCTTCTTTTGGTGGCGCTCTTTTTACTTGTCCATGGACGATCACCGCTGAAAAAATCACGTGACAGTTTTTAAATTCTTATATCAAGTTGAAAAAAGTTTAAATAAATCTATAGCAATTTTTTTCTTTTCTATTCTTTTTTTTATTAAGAATAACGTTAACAAACGGGCATACAGTCCATCTGATGGTAAATGAGTGATGCAGCCTATAGACATCTGCACTTATTCTCGATTAAGAATCAAAATGCAGATGCGTTGTCACCTCTCTCTCTCTCTCTCTCTGCCTGTGCCCAGCAGTGGAACGTATATAGGCTGTAACTTTAACATTACTTTTTAAACATAGGCGTGTTATGGAGGCGTGAGAGAGTCCACTGCCCTGATTGTCATAGGAGGCGACAAAGGCTACTGAAACAATACTAAATACACTACAATACTAGATACAATACTATATAGGGCATTGATTAGCCACTCTGACTAATTATGAGGCGATGAAACTAGGGAATTACTTTGATAGCGTGATTTAGACTTCGATATAAATGATAAATATTAACAGTGACGCCATCTCTTGAATAAAATGTGTAAATTAGTGGGAAAATTGTGCTTTTACTGACTGTGAGATGGCTCTAGTATCAACGTAAAAGCAAGCTCCTGAGGAATTTTATACCACTTGAGGCGAGGGAGGTGTGTCAAAATCGTGCCAAATGAAAAACCGTAGTCTCTATCAACCCTTCTGGGTGACAGGCGTGAGTATATGCATGCAAAACAACGCTTTAGCAGCGTAAAAGTTCATGAAATTCTTCGTGTCAGGAGACGGGCAGCTACATCTTCCAGATAACAACCAATATAATTAAAAAAATCGGTTGTCTACTCGCTTTTTAAGCGTTGCAAATACGTCATATATGACTATCTGTACGGAGGACTATTAAGATGTGGAATATACTGCATATAACCTTTTTGCCGTCTGGAAAAAAAATACAGTGTAACATGTGAACGGAGTAGAAGCCCATGGCACTGATGTTTTACAAAAAAAAAGTTTTGAATTAAACGTTTTGCCCTTTGCCCTTGAGCTTGTGACCCTGCGAAGTGATAAGGTCAAAGATGCCTACTAAATTTATTGTTTTATTGCCGTTCGTAAAGTAGAGTGGATAGGATTTGAATTTTTATTTATTTATTTATTCTTTATAGCATCCCTAAATAAAAGAATACAAAGGGCGGACCATTGAGTCCGTGAGGCATTCTCCACCAATCAACCCATAGCGATAGATTTTAATTAATTAATTTACATAATTAAAATTTTTTGTTTTAATTTTTTGTAAAATATCAGTGCCATTTGTATATGGCTTTTACTCCGTTCAAATGTTACAACCTATTTTTTCCAAACGGTAAAAAAGGTCATCCAGCATAACAGGCTAGGCTGTATGATGATAATAGTGGTGATGAAGAATAAATTAAACTTACCTGGCGCTGAAATAAAAAATGTAGCACGATTAAAATAACGTTCAGAACACTTTTTTATTATTGACTAGCGTTGCGCCCCGACTTCGCACGGGTGCGTTCTGGATCTCGACAACAACGCCATCTACCCCTGCCAATTGTGAATTTAAACCATCCAAGGCCACACTTGAAAGCACACAAAAAATTCATCAAAATCTTTTTAACCATTTTCGAGTTTTTGAGACTAACGGGTAGTAATTGATTTTACATATTATAGAGATACAATAGAATTTGTAACTTAAATATGAAATACACCAATGACAGGTTTTTGATTCATAATAATGTTGCGCACCATAATTAATGCATGGAACATGGCGAGTCATCACTAACGCCATCTCGTATCGAGCAGCAGAACTAGGGGAGTCAAGATCTTTTTAGAAAATTTCATACTAGAACTTTCTACACTTAGTGAGTCGTGACCGGTATGTACTCGAACATTCCAGATGAACGTGTGTTTTAAGTTGTAATAGGTGTTCGTTAATTAAAGTGTCAATTTTGGTAATTCAATCCGCAGCTTTTATTGTCACGAACCCCAAGCTCCATCATGGCATCATGGCGACCAGTCACAACGGAGGCTAGCCATCTGCGTGGGACAGGATTATAGCGCACGAGTGTATGCACAAGCACAGGTGCACTCTCTATTCTCTCACTCTCGTAGTGCGATGGGATGGTAAACCAACACAACCGGAGAGAGATCAGGCGCAGGACCAACGGCTTTATTTATTTTCCGAGGTACCAGGGTGAAAAACGACCAACTTCCGAACATAAAATCAAATTATTGGTTTTCGACTCAACCTAGACCTAGACCAAATTATCGGGAGTCGCTCGTATTTCGACCACCAGACTAACGAGACAGCCAAAGTAAATTGATTATTTATAGTGTTTTAAATATTTACAATTGAATAGTGTTTTAAATATTTAGAATTGAATTGATAGCTCAGATGGTTAGCGCTCGCTGTAAATTTCACAGTAGCGAGCAAACCGGGTTCGGTCCCCGTCGGCACCAATGAAATTGTTAATTGTATTTTAAGTGCTGATTTATCACGTGCTCGGCGGTGAAGGAAAACTTCGTGAGGAAACCTGCATGTCTAAGAAATAAGTAAAAATAAACAATCGAAATTACTATCATTTCAATCAATACCAAAAAATATTGGACTGTATAACAAATGAACAAGACATTTGTTAACTTCTTCCAATTTTTTTTATTACTGTTTTAAACTACTACTTTACTTTGTTAATAATTTATTTTATTTCATTAATGATATACCGTAAACAACATGCTAACACGTCAAATAAATAATAAACCTTGGCGAAATTCGTAACATTCCATATTTTATTGGTGATTCTTTATACAAAGTATTCGGAGTCACGATAGTTCTCAGCAGACAATGATCTAAGTCCGCCATGGGTTTTTTTGGAGGCTTGATTTGGAGTCTAATGATCTCTAGTACCCAACAGATAATGATTTAAGGGGATAGAGTAAGTCAGCTCAAATTCTAATTTCGTCCCCACTTGCCCGCGCGTCGTATGCTATGTACCGACATGTTTGTAATCACTAATACTGTAAGTAGAAAGGTCGTTAGACACTTATTTCATTAGGTTTATCATATTTATGCCTGTTTCTTAACGCCAAGTCAGTCGCTTCTTATTTTTATTACGGTTATTTCCCATTTTAATTTTACGTCGTCCTGTTGCGTAATGTGTATTCTGATCGTAAGCGACACAACCTCCCCGTTCAAAGGCCGAAGCGAAGTGACCGTGCGGCAGGAATCACGCTTCAAAAGGCCGATAGTTTAGGTAATTTCTTTTTACAGTGAAAATAATGGTATTTTAAAAAAAGTAAATAACATAAGCACTGCTTTATAGTTAGTTCAGTTAGTATGCAAAGTTTCATGATCTTATTTAAAGTATTTTATGAAAAACAGCGGTTTATTGTTTATTTTGGAGGTAACTTTGGATTTTTTTTTCTATTCAGAAAATTTTACGAAATCGTGTTTTCGTCTAACATAATCCTTAACATTAATCCTCAACTTTACCATATATTTATTTCCAAATTAATGCTGCAATATTTTCGGCATAACGAAGGATCTTGCTAAGCAATTTGAGATTATATTTCCCCTTAACATTCTCTGGAAGTCCGTGATGGGTTTTTGTGCGCGAATGGCTAATTATTTGCTACTAATTGCTACTAATTTGCTGCTAATTATTATTAATTGGTAAGAGATGCTAGGAGAAAATAACTATATCTACTATTTTTTTAATATATCTTTCATAAAGAATAACTAACACATAATTTTTATATAGAATAAGGATAACAAACGAGCACACAGTCCAACTGATGTTAAATGGATGCTGTGGTCCATAGACATCTACATATATCTTCAATTAAGAATCAAATTGCAGATGCGTTGTCATCCCTGAGGATTGTGATGAAATGCCTCGTTTCCAGTAAAAAGGGTCTCCGGTTCTTTACACTCACCATATGAAACATAGCAGTATTAAGCTGATATTCTGTGAGAGCGTGGTCCTACCCCGGTCGGGCCAACCCATTCGTACTGCAACCACAATATAGCTGCAGCACGGCTCAACCACGAAAGACACGACTCTACCACGTAATCAGTGATAGCAGCTCAAGTTTCTTTTAATTAAAAAAAAAATTTAATAAATATTTCACTTACCGCTGTCTGAAAAAAGAATAAAGAAGATAGATGAATGCATGTTTGATAGATATATGATAGACGAATGATTCTACGAATGATTTAAGGGGATAGAGTAAGTCAGCTCAAATTCTAATTTCGTCCCCACTTGCCCGCGCGTCGTATGCTATGTACCGACATGTTTGTAATCACTAATACTGTAAGTAGAAAGGTCGTTAGACACTTATTTCATTAGGTTTATCATATTTATGCCTGTTTCTTAACGCCAAGTCAGTCGCTTCTTATTTTTATTACGGTTATCTCCCATTTTAATTTTACCTCGTCCTGTTGCGTAATGTATATTCTGATCGTAAGCGACACAACCTTCCCGTTCAAAGGCCGAAGCGAAGTGACCGTGCGGCAGGAATCACGCTTCAAAAGGCCGATAGTTTAGGTAATTTCTTTTTTACAGTGAAAATAATGGTATTTTAAAAAAAGCAAATAACATAAGCACTGCTTTATAGTTAGTTCAGTTAGTATGCAAAGTTTCATGATCTTATTTAAAGTATTTTATGAAAAACAGCGGTTTATTGTTTATTTTGGAGGTAACTTTGGATTTTTTTTCTATCCAGAAAATTTTACGAAATCGTGTTTTCGTCTAACATAATCCTTAACATTAATCCTCAACTTTACCATATATTTATTTCCAAATTAATGCTGCAATATTTTCGGCATAACGAAGGATCTTGCTAAGCAATTTGAGATTATATTTCCCCTTAACATTCTCTGGAAGTCCGTGATGGGTTTTTGTGCGCGAATGGCTAAAGACGAAGAAAACAATAAACTTAAAGTCTTATTACCCTGACAAATTTACCAGAGGTGCTCACGTCTGTTTTTTTTTTTTTTAACTTATTATAAGCCAGTTTGACGGTTTGCACGTCGGCACGAAACAGTGTGCTGCGTCTATTGTTTGGTCTTTTGTAGCAAAGGAAAGGAATAATAGAACGGTTGCATGTTTTTTAATTTAAAAAAAAACTGCTTAAAATTATTAAGAAAAATTTAATAAAATTAACAAAAAGCTTATCATGTAATAATTTAAAATGGTTTTTCTAAAATTTAAATTCATAAGCCAGTGACGTCATTATATCGCTCTAGAGAGTAAGGAAGTGGTATCAAATGTGTACTATGGACAGACCACCTCAGCAACGAGTGGAAGGACAGCCTACGACATGCACAGCAGGAAGATCCGGACATCAAGCCGATTCTGGAATGGATGAAGGCCCGTGCTACCAAGCCTAAGTGGAGCGACGTCTCAGCGATGAGTTCAACCACGAAAAGATATTGGGCCCAATGGGACAGCTTCCTGATTCAGGATGGAGTCTTGTGCCGTAAATGGGACAATTGTCGAGGAGACAGCTGTCGTTTTCAAATGGTTGTCCCCAAAGCTAAAGTGCCGAATGTTCTACAGCTGTGCCATAATGGTCGTTCAAGAGTCCATCTGGGAGTTAAACGAACTCTACTGAAGGTCCGAGATCAGTTTTACTGGGTTTATTATCGTGACGATGTCGAGGATTGGTGTCGTACATGTACAAGTTGTGCGGCCGTGCGGGGACCTCAGACACGTAGTAGAGGAGCACCGAAATTGTACAATGTTGGTGCACCACGGGATAGGACAGCCCTTGACATTGCGGAGCCGTTACAGAAAGGCGCAAGAGGGACTCCTAAGATCGTCCATGTGGATCGCCTGGCGCGTTATTATGGGGCCGATAATGCTCGGGACGAGCATGTCTTAGGAGGGGACAGTGTTGCGCGGCTAAGTTGACATCTGGCACTAGCGCCATCTAGTGTCGGGTAACGGAGCGAGGGGAGAGTTTTCCAGAAAATGACATCACTAATCTTTCAACCGACAGCGCCATCTGTTGTCGAAACGAAGAACTAAGCTTCTGGAAGCTGACTCTCGAACTTTCGGCGCTTTGTCGATTGGTATATTGGAGTATTTACTTCAATGTTCTGGATGATTCGGTACTAATGTGTATTTATAGGCGCTGCAAGGTGCGATCGGGGAAGTATTGAATTTGGCGAGAAAGGAACTTCAGCGGAATAAAGTGAATTAGTGTGCTTGATTATTGTTTTTTAAGTTTTAATTTGTGTAAAGAAAATTAAAGTGTTAATTTAGGTAATTATATCGGCAATTTTTATTGTCACGAACCTCAAGCTTGTAACAGTAACATCACCTCATGGTGAAGTGATAAAACACTCAGGTTTACGTTGTCAAAATTAAAAAAAAATTGTTATTGCATAGTAAGGGTTGGGTATATATATTTTGTTATGACATAAGGTGATCCGAATATAGAAATTACAAAAATATAGCAAGATTGCGATTGGCTCACAGCTTCAACGGATATAATGACGTCTCAACTAACCACAAGTCGTTTTTTTTTTAATTCAAAAATTTGTTTTTTTTTTTATTAATATTACTAAAAAATGGAATTGTTAATATAAAATAACTATATAAATATACTTTACATGAATTATTCTTACTTTCATATATAAATTTGTGGAAAAAAAATTAATGCAACTTCTCTATTTGCCGACGTCAGTCCTTACGTCCGAATACAAACTTGGCGTGATCAAAGCAAGAGTGTATATGGTTTTGTTACATCTAGGGTATCTAGGGCTTTATCATCACTTACCACCAGGTGGGATTAAGGTCAAGTACTGGCTCATGATAAGTAAAAAACAATTGGTGGACCCTGCAGGCCATCCCTGGAACTTCCCGCTAATTTCAAATGCAAAGCACTCCAAATTCTATTGCGAAGTCTCGAAGATATGTTAACAAAAAACGTCTTTTTTTTTTAAATTTTTTCTCCTTCGATATCTCACGAACGAATGAACCCATTTTTATTTTCCAAACGGCATTATTGAAGTTAGGAGCTGATTAGTTTTTGAAATCGGTCGGTGGGTCATACTCAGAAAAGATGTACATTTGTTATCTTTTCTTGTCCCGCGAACTCATACTTTAATAAATATCTAATTTTATAAATATGATAAAAAACAATTCCCCTTGTTATATTTTTATGTTAGTCTCTTAATGTGAAGAATTTTTTGGTATTTTAACTTTAATTTTTAGTAAAGGCATAAATTTTTGGAGATCATTCTTTTTATAAAAATGCTATCGAACATTTTTTTAGCGTCGCAGTGACCATTTTACTTTTTCAGAGTCAAGTTGTTACAAATATTAATAAGCTTTATTTAACATGGCTATGGCCATATTACTCCTGCTGAATCAAGCATTTAAACTCGTCCTAATTCATTCGTAAGTCATTAAAAAAAATTATTTATTTTGATTAAATTAATAATGTCCCAAAATTATAACGTTACGTTACTCAGGTTTCGTAACGTGTAGTAAAATTAGGAACGCATTTATTTAAAAGAGTAGAAATATGTTTTTATATTCCGGCAATACTAGTAACTACGTCAAAATTATTGCCGCCGCGGCCATTGAATTTTAGTCGCAACCGTGGACTCAAGATTTGTTATCACGTGAATATTCACAAAACCAGGGTGAAAAATTAGGGTGATAAACAGCTATTATTTTGGAAAGTTTATTATAATTTTTGTTTACTAAATAAATCCTTTTATTATTTTTTGTAATATCATAACGAATACACTCGGTGTTTATTTGTGCAACACTTGGTTTACGTAAAAATAGTTTTAGAAGTAATAATTTCTCAGATTTTATTCACAATTTCGTTATATTGCGTAACGTTACGAAACTGAGAAATTGTTAAGCTTAGTTCACATAAACAATTATGTATGTAATTATTTAAAAGTAAAGTAAAGTTACAGCCTATATATGTCCCACTGCTGGGCTCAGGCCTCCCCTCATTTCTGAGAGGGTTTAGGGCAAGGAAGTGTCCGCCGCGCTGCCCAAATGTGTGTTGACGAACTTCACATGTCTTCGAAATATTTTTTTTCTTATTCCTCAGACATGCAGGTTTCCTCACGATGTTTTCCTTCACCGCCGAGCACGTGGTAAATATTGTGGTACGTGGTAATTATTTACTACTACTTAAATAACGTTTAATATGTCGTCATAATACGTCGTTGTGGTGTTTACTCTTTTCTAGCAGTTTTTTTCTTTACTGCAAATAAAACAACGAAGTTAATAAAATCAATTTAATTAATAAATAAGTAAAACTAGTCTAATTTGTATTTATTTCAACAAAAGTTGTATTTTCAAAAAAAAAAGAAAGAAGAAGAAAGAAGATTATGATAGAAAAAAAAGTGTTGAAATGGAGGTAAAAAGAACATCTAATGTTCAGGATATTCAGAAACAAAAATTCATTTCTGAGAGGGTTTTAGGGCAAGAAAGTTTCTGCCGCGCTGCCCCAGTGCGTGTTGGCGAACTTCACGTCTTCGAAATATTTTTTTCCTACCCACAATAATACATATTTATTCAAAAATAATAATCATAATTATGCGAGTGACAATGCCTCAAATTTTGATAGCTTTTAATAAATTATTAGACTTCATTTTGATCTCGTGAATATTCCTCCGACATCACGTTTCGTTTTTTATACTGAGGTATTTTTTTGTATTAGGTTTTTAATGTGAAAAAATTAATATTTGTTAACATTCCATTTATTCCTAGTTTTTTTTTATCTAATTCACCGATATTAACTTTTTAGAAAATTATAATTTTGGTTAGTCTAAAATATCAAAGTCAATTAATACAAATAGGACTAATTAAACCAAACAAGTTTTATAATTCATCTATAATATAATAATATATCAATCTATAATTTGTACTTAGTTTAATGTGTACTATACCTTATGAGATTAGTTTCGTTACGAATATTCTCAGTATCGTTACATATCAGTTTAGTTACAAAACTAAAATGTACACTTTTTCTGAGTATGACCCCGCGTAAAGCCGTTTAAAGTTATTCCAAAAAAAACAGTTTTTCAAAACTTTTATTTCTGAGATTTGTCAAAATCAACTAGTCCGAATCAATTCATATTATCACCAAATCTATTCCATATTGAGATCTTTAGAACGCCGCGCCGCAAACTGCATCTCAATCGATCAAGACGTTCAAAAGTTATGAAAGGTTGACATACATCCATGCGGACGTCTATGTGAAATTAGTCAGAATAGCTTCCTGGGATCTCAAAACGTCGAGAGCTGATGAAAACTCAATTTTCGAAAATCGGGTTGAAACCAATAACTTATCTATTTTTTAAAATTTTCAATTTTTTCAGCGGGAAGTTAAAAACATCAGAATTTAAAAAAAGAGTATTACTATCAAAATTTTACATATACTCACTATCAATGACAGCTAAAATCTTTTTGTAAACCCTGTTTTTCACTTTAAAGAAGCCCACGTACACACAGGAGTGACTGTCTTCGAACCTGAAATAATTGAAATCCTTGGTAACGTAATTTATGAATTCATTAACTATACACGACATAATAGTTTACGTGGTAGAACCACGCTGTAACTATCTTATGGTTGTGGCACGAATGCGAAGGGCTCGACCGGGGTAGGATCACGCTCTCACAAAATACCAGCGTAAAATATCAGCTCAATGCTGCTGTGTTTCGTATGATGAGGGTAGAGAACCGGAGACCCTTTTTGCTGGAAACGAGGTATTCCATCTTAGCCATAACCATAGCTTCTCTTTCGGACTGGATTTGATCCCGAATGGCCCGACATCTCCAAGACTGTGCATACCCATAGATACCAGGAATAAGCAGATCATTAATATGCAGCAGCGTTTGTCGCGATAGGACTGTATGAGCAGCCATAGCAGAGGTGGTACGCTGCTGCTACTGTCTAAACGCGAATTGCAAGTAAAAAAGAAGCAAATAAGTCCGCTTTATATTTAGCCGTATGCGTCAGTGAACCATCTGGTATTACTTTTTTATAGAAGAAATGGCAAACTAGCAAACGGTTCACCTGATGGTAAGTGACTACCGCCGCCCATGATCAACTGCAACACCAGGGCAATTACAGGTGCGTTGCGCCGGCAACGGTTCAAAAGAGCTTACTCCTTTCAAAACAACCGGTTTTAGAAAGGAGTAAGCTCTTTTCTTGAAGGTTCCAAGGTCTTGTCGGTATGGAAAAATCACCGGTGGTAAACTATTCCACAGAGAGGTCGTACGCGGAAGAAAACTCGGGATCGGGAGGTTTGCCGCGTAATACGTTCATGAAATTTGGCGGCTGGATTAATCGAAAAACAACACTCCCCATAGTATATGCGAAAGAGAATGCAGAGAAACGCAACATCTCTTCGCAGCGCCAGTGATTCGAGCTGATCGGAACGCACTCGCTCGTCGACGTTTCGATTATTACCAGTGGAGGTAGTGTAGACTGTCTCTTATAAACAAAAAACTCTATTGCCAGATAGTTTGACAGAGAGCTTTGCACCGATACGTTTAATGCGGTTGAAACTGGCTTGCCGTAATGACTTTTTGCATGACTTGGTGGCTTGGTTAAAGGTTCTCTTCCCATGGCTAACATCCGGAGCTTTGCGATCTCGAGCAATAACGCAGGATAAGTACGCCATATGCTTGTGCTATTCAGCACGAGCACACTCGGCGTTAAACCAATGAGCACGTCAGCAAGGAGGATGAAATACTGCATCGCTTAGCGTATCACATCGGTAGTGACATCCGCGTATCTCGACGGATCTTCAGACAAAAAGTAGACCTGCCGCCAAATGTAAGATGAAGAACTATGTACTCAGCCCAGAAGAAGTGAAATTGCTCACGGCTAAGCAACTCCTTCTATTCATTGAAGACATAGGGCTTAGCCGTGAACTATAGCCATAGCAGCGGTCGCAATAGATCTTCTAGGTCGCAGTGATACTGGTCTCTTTCCCTGGGCCTGCATAGCTGATGATAAAAAAACCACCCTGACTTGTATCGCCACATTCGCCACACACCTTGTAGGTCGTAGTTAGGTGGGAGAATATAACGATACAGACTTTACCAGACAGTGGTCAGAAGTTCCCACGGGTGAGGTAGCCTGAACATCGTACCTGTCCGTATCGGTCGTCAGCAGAAATTTGAGACAGTTGGCTGTGTGCCTATTCCCATCGGGTACTCTAGTCGCTTGTTGTACCTTTTAGAAGAGTCCCAACGACTAGGCAAAATTCAACGCCTCTCTCCCAGCGTGGTCGGTCTTCTGGTACGGGAACAGCCAGACCTGATGACAGGCATTACAGTTCCCCAGAAAAACTAACTGTAGTTTTCTGTCAAGAAATTTTCAGCAGCCCAAAGTCAGGAAGTTGAAGGTATTTCCCCTCGGAAAGCACGTAAAGCAGTTGGTCCCTGATCCTGGATTTTTCTCCGGTAACGTCGAAATGCCGTCCCATCGCACTATGAGAGTGAGGGAGTAAAGAGTGCACCTGTGCACACACTGGTGCACTAGGCATGTCAGATTTTAAACAGTATAAAATACTGACATTACCTTGCTTATACATACTAGAAGTAGCTGTGTTTGTTGAATTGCATCCAAAACGTTTTAAACGCCTTGACCAAGTAGTTCCACGTAATAGACGCGACAATACCCTTCTATGTCATCAATCCGCTAAGACAGCGTGCAGTATATGCAGTATAAACTGCATGGCTCCAGTCATATATGATAAAATACCTAAAAGTTGGAAAGAATTGCCGCTATCGATATTTAAAAAAATTCTTCGAAGCTTCTTGACAGTCAAAGCATACTATAGCGTAACAGAAATCTTGACTGATTTTTTTTTATTTTGTGATTAAGACTGTATAATGTTAAAAATCTGAATTATGTTTGTTTCTGTGTTATTATTTTATTTTGTTATAGCTGCATAGGTGATTAGTTTATTTTGCATGCCTACTAGTAAAATATGGCTGAACTCATTACCTATATTACCATGTACTGCACCCATATTTAAAATAAAATATCTTTTATCTTTTATCTATAATTCAAGTATGCGTAGATGGCTAGTTTGGTTAGAAACCAGCCTCCGAGACCGAAATTTAGTTTATACGAGATAACAAACGACAAACACAATTTCCAATGATACTCACCTGGGAAAGTTAAAGCTGATCATCTTGGAGACGCTGATGACGGAAATCCGTCCGGCAGCCAGCACACTCTCCCCGTTACACAGGATGTCCCTGATCTCGCAGTTGTCACAGGTGTAGTTCATAGTCCGATCGAAGTGGCCGCCCACCAGGAACGACTCCGTCAGTCGAGGTATGTCGATCACTGGTGTTGTGCAAATGTTGTGAACAAAGTCTTCTATCTATACTACTAGAGCGCTATTTCAGCACAAATACTGTGTCACAGCTGTGGATCGTGCGGTCTGGTAGCTGACATGGTTAATATACTACGCAGTTGTATATGCATTTACGACATTTAAGGCATATACGAAATAAAGTTACTCCAAAAGTTCAAAGTTGCTCAGCAAGCAATGGAAAGAGCTATGCTCGGAGTTTCTCTGGTAGACAAAATTTGAAATGAAAAAATCCGCTGGGGAATCAAGATTACTGACACAGCCTTACGTGTTTGTAAGCTGAAGTGGCAGTGGGCTGGTCATGTCTGTCGCAGAAGTGACAACCGGTGGAGTAGACGTGTTATGGAGTGGAGACCGCGTCTAGGCAAACGTAGTGTGGGATGCCCCCTGACCAAATGGAGCCACGATCTGCGCAAGGCGGCTGGTAGAAACTGGATGCGTGTAGCCGAAGATCGGGCTAAGTGGCGCGCCTTGTGAGAGGCCTATGTCCAGCAGTGGACTGCAGCAAGCTGATGATGATGAAGAAATAAAGTTCAATACTTATCTGAAATAAACGTTCACGTGGACCAAGTGCGCACATAAATATCCCCCTATGAGGTAATCTATGGGGGAGGCTTATGTTCAGCAGTGGACTATTGATAGGCTATAACGAATTAATGCATGGATTTTGAACTCAATAATAAAGTTGTAATTAAAATATAGCCTGTATACATCTCAGATAGAGTTTGGGAATTCTCGACAATTTCAAAGTCCCGGGACACGAGACAGTTTACTATCAAAGTCCCGGGAATTCCCGGGTCTTCGACTTTTAAGATAAATTTTTTTTAAGAGGGTTGAGCCATTTTTGAAGGATTTTAATTAGTTAATGTCTTTTAAAAATCAACATTTATTAAACAGAAAGTTAAATCTTAATAACTTAAAAGTTAATTTCAGTTTTAATAGTTACTTTGTTTATTTCTTTTAATCAGACACAGATTCACTTTTATGCAGTTAAACCTTATAGTTACAAAACGAACTTAGTTAAAAATCATACTAATTCTTAATAACTTTACTATTATCTAGTAACTCTAGTATCTAATCATTGGTCATAATCACAACATTGTTAATTCTCCTTATCACAGATTTGTTTCATATTTAATAATTTTAATAAAAATCATAAAACACTTACTTATAAATCAGACTTTCAAATAATTAACTAACACAATTAGACTTCCTTGCTTATTTAATAAAATAGGCTTTTAAAAAAATCAAAGCGTCAACAGCTTTCTCCGACAATCTGTTTCTGATTTTTGTAATAATGCTACCGGACAAGGAGTACACACACTCTCGTTTTCTACAGATGTCAGTTTAATTGTGTTCAAGGCTTTATATAGTAGTTCCAAACTTCCTGTGCTTTTCCGGTTGTTAAATTAAAAAAAGGAATTTCAGTTGTTCAAACTTGTCGGTTAAATTGCATTTAATGTTTTATACAGTAGTTCCAAACTTACTGTGGTTTTTCAAATTTGAACAACTGAAACTGCTTTTTTAATTTACAGATACATACAGATAACAGATGGCGTTAGGCCCCTTCAATTATTTGAAAATAAAAATGATAACATAACAAATTCGACAATCTTGTCTCGTCTCGAGTCTCGACCCGAAAGTCCCGGGACTCGAGACAACTAAAATTACAAAAAGTCCCGGGACTTCGAGACACGAGACGCCCCGGGACCCAAACCCTAATCTCAGAGCACAACCTGTATAAAGGCCCATTAACGTTTATATAAACCCAGAGACCCTGTATACGGGTTAAGCCACCTCTACACGTCGACCGATGCGTCAGCAGATGTCAACTACGGACGTGTCCGCCGACTTGTGGGACAGACCGGGGGAAATTAACTCGTCTGTGATGGTAAATAACGTCGGAGATGTGTCTGCTACCAATCCGTTTGTCGTCGTTTTTTGCGGCACGCAACAAAGGTTTTCAGTCATAATGTAATCCATACACGTCTGGCGACGCATCGGTGGTATCGGAGTTGCGAATTCCATTTCTTTTAATAACAACTACGATACACACTTAAGTAGTAATTAAAAGTACTAAATAAATAAATAATTGCGGCAGCTACGGTCTCAACATCCATATAAATGCTGTGTGAATGCGAGTTGCGTCTGTCAAGAATTAACACAGACTGAACGAGAGTGTTGGGAAATAGTTGGTGCGAAATTATGGTGTTGCCAAGCTAGAAAATATTGTATTATGGGCAGAATTATTGTATATTTTTGCTAAAGATTTTTTTATTTATTAAGCTGTCTAAATCCAAATTTAATAGGTTTTTGCTATTTCTTTATATTTGCATAACTTAAAAACATGTTATTAATTGTTTTTTTTATTAAAATAATAAAACTTAGGGCACGGAATTAAACAATATGAACTAAACAGGAATGGAAAATTCGAAGTCGTCTTCTTCTTCGAATTCGAAATCTCGACGTGTAGATGTAGACGGATTTGACTGCAGAGAAGTTGTTGCATACAGGACATTGGAAACAATTTGATTTGCCATTTGTTTCGTGGGTTCAAATAATATACATTCCTACACAAGACGTTTTGCGCTTTTAGAAGCGATAACTATATTATTTGGTATAAGTACGTGATGCGTTCGTTCGTACATTTTAAAGTTGCGTGTGTCTAGTATTGAACTCATATTGTGTAAAAATAGGAAAATATTGTATAAAAGCGTACAATAATGAGAAAGCTATGTTTTATGGTACAATTTAGTTTCGTGTAACAAATTATTGTAAGAATCCAATAATTATTGTACATTTCCCAACACTGAACGACCTACAGACTTGTGGATAGCTCGTGCTGATTCATCGGCTGATGCATCTGTCGACGTGTAGAGGAGCCATTAGTTATTCCCGAGACGCTACTCCAGTACGTGTTGACAGGATTCAAATTATGGAGTGTAATTCAAATGTTATGTTATGCTACATAACATTTTAGTAACATAACAGATTATCTTCGGATTGCAAAATTATTTGAAACTCTTACCATGATCTGAAACAGAAATATCACAAATATTAATATGATTTTAATTCAAGTTCAAAAAACGAGAAGGTTCTATTCTCGACGCGTATGTTCTTTTTATTTCTCGGAAACGGCGAAACTGATTTAAAGGCGGCTATTCACTTTTCTGCCGCAGGGGTAACCTAGGATGTAGGAGTTGGGATGACCCTTAATTGCCTCCTTAATTGTGATGTGTGTATGCAATTAGAAGCAATATCCTAAGTCGGTCCTGCGGCAGGGCGGCAAAGTTTAAGGTGACCATATTACTCTCACGTACTTTAGTTATTAAGGTCACAAAGATGTTATTTTTACCACTCACCGATTCACTAACTCGGCTTACCCATCAATAACCAATACCACTTCTAGATGACTAAATTTTTTGTGTATGGAAGTATGTACAAAACAGCGATATTCCGAGTGCAAATGAGTTTGAAATATCAATAAAAAATATTTAAAACAGTACTTACCAACGTCTGTAAACAAATTGAAAATTTAATTTTTAATATGTTAAATGAATAGATAATCATGTAATTACGGTTACCATTACACCCTTTTAAAGTACACTGCTGAACAAAGGGTTCCCTTATAGATTGTCTCATAGGGGGATATTTACCATAGTTGCCACGCTTGCCACGCGGGTTGGCAACCGGATTTTTATTTTTATTTTTAGTCGTATTTGGAAGACGCTGTTGACCATCGATTTCCCTGATTTGTTTCCCAATGTTGTCTTATATATATATATATATATATAAAAGTAAACTTAAAGTTACAGCCTATATACGTCCCACTGCTGGGCACAGACCTCCCCTCATTTTAGGGTAAGGAAGTGTCCGCCACGCTGTCCCAATGCGTGTTGGCGTACTTCACATGTCTTCGAAATATTTTTTTTATTATTCCTCAGACATGCTGGTTTCCTCACGATGTTTTCCTTCACCGCGAAGCACGTGGTAAATCAGCACTTAAAATTGCATTTAACAATTTCATTGGTGCCGGCGGGGATCGAACCCGGGTTACTCGCGTTCTGTTATATTTACAGCGAGCGTTAACCATCTGAGCTACCACGGCTCATAATACATTACATACACACACAACAGGCACGCGCCTGCACTAGCTCACACGCACAACTACTCTTTTCACAGTACACACACTTATTGATGTGAAATTTGTAATTACTGCAGTTCATTTTATTTACTTAGTTATAATCTCCTTTCCGATTTGTATTTCTCAGACTGTTGCTTTATACGCGGGGGAGCCCTGGTGACCTGGCACCCGTCTCTCACAACTGAGGTACCTACCTGTCTGGCACTTTTGTAATACTTAGTACTAAGAATACCTATTGTGAAGAGAGAATAAATGCATTCATTCATTCATTCGTTCACATTAAATAGAATGTGGACTATTATTAGATAAATAATTCGTAAAAAACATCAAAATTAAGAGCTTTACAATCCACCTATGCTAACATAGCAGCCTAATAACATCTTCATCTATTCTCAATTAAGAATCAAAATTCAGATGCGTTGTCACTCCTGAGAACTAAGATGGAATGTTTGCTACGGTCTCCGGCTTCCATCCCTCGCCATAAGAAACACAGCACTCGTTATACTGTTAATGCCTCGTTTCCGGTAAAAAAGGGTCTCCGGTTCTCTACACTCACCATACGAAACACAGCAGCATTAAGCTACTATGTAACGCTAGTATTCTGTGAGAACGTGGTCCTTCCCCGGTGGCGCCCATTCGTGCAACCATAATATAGCATAATAATACATTCGATCATCTTATACAGAACGAGTGTAGAGACGGCTGTAACGATTTTATTTATTTAATAGTTAAAAGTGATTAGTTAAAAAATAACATAATTATAATGGTTAAAATATTAGTTAAAAATTAAACGATTTACTTTCTTTCACATAAACCCATAATATTACT